TCGCGCCGCAACGGCGTGCGCTTTTTCGACATCGCAACCTCCAAAAGTGGTCCGAACCGTAGTGTTTTACATTTTGACTTGGAAATGTGCTTCGCGCCACAACGGCGTGCACTTTTTCGACATCTCAACTTCCAAAAGTGGTCCGAAATGTGTGTTTTTGTACATTTTGACTTGGAAATGTGCTTCGCGCCACAACGGCGTGCACTTTTTCGACATCTCAACTTCCAAAAGTGGTCCGGAGCTGAGGTGTTTTGTACATTTTGACTTGGAAATGTGCTTCGCGCCACAACGGCGCGCACTTTTTCGACATCGCAACTTCCAAAAGTGGTCCGAACCTGGTGTGTTTTGTACATTTTGACTTGGAAATGTGCTTCGCGCCACAACGGCGCGCACTTTTTTGACATCTCAACTTCCAAAAGTGGTCCGAGAATGGTGTGTTTTGTACATTTTCACTTGGAAATTTGCTTCGCGCCACAACGGCGTGCAATTTTTCCTCTCTCCTCTGGCCAGCTGGCTCCGCACCCGCCGCTTTAGCGAGCCTACTTTTCGACCCTCCGGAGCCACAAATCATTGGAAAAACACAGTGTTTCGCGACTTTCCTACCTTTTCGCGCATCTGTATCTTCTGTTTTCTTACTCTTTCTCTTCTAATCTTCTTTCTTCTAATCTTTCTCTTCTCTATGCCTCTTCCCTGCTCTGCTTTTCATCTCTCCATATTGTCGGAAGTTTGACTTCTAAACTTCCTTCGATTAAGGATCCATTGAGGATTCTATCTGACATTCTAATATTTTTTGATATCTGTATTGTGGAGTTTGGCAAGGCCATCCTAATCGATGAAGAATCAACCTAGGCGTTTGCATTGAATTTGGACAAGGGAAAATGCAATGTAGGATTGCTATTGGATGATGATACTTGCTGAGATCGCTGCCGTGCCATCTTCTGCCCTCCAATTACACTTGGCTCCACTCTTTGGTGGTAGTCCTGTCAAGATTGAAGCACTTTCCGTGCAAATTTCGCCAAATGTCTGCAAGCAAGGCATATGACATATGGCGTTGTATTTGCGCGCAATCCGCAACACGTAAATGTACACAGGTTCAGCAGCTTCAGCAGGTTCAGCAGGTTCAGCAGCTTCAGCAGGTTCAGCAGGTTCAGCAGGTTCAGTCATGGTCAGCAAAGCAGCTACGCCTCGGTGCATCTGCCATCAAGCGCATCCGCAAGAGAAATCGGAACAATCTCGGTTCCAGGCACCTCAACGGTTTGAAGCGCGGGTAGCAAGCTGGTAATGAACGTGGCAAAGCATACTGCACAACTAATTCTAGAAATTCCAGCAAAAACTGTACAATGGATACACACAACGAGCTGAGGCTGACTTGGAGCATGCTGGAAGAAAAGTGAAAAACATCTGTGATCCTGCTGCATCAAACGCTGATGCACCTGGATCCTGGAAGTTCCAAGCTCGAAGACAAGCCTTCGCAAGCATACCACGTCGTAATTAGAAATCCATTGCGCTATATTAATATGCAATTAAATTCAATCAGGTTATCTCTATATTATGCGTATCAATATCTCATACATCCGAGGCTACACTGCTCTTCCTGCTCTCTACTTAAATGGAAGAACATGACTTCATCGGACTTTGAACCATTTGCACACCTCATCCTTCGCTGCAGCATGCTCCTGGGTGTGATCAAAGAGATTCAGAGAGAGCATTGACAGCAGTGATCGGTGTGAACCCTTTGGTATTTACCACCCATTTATGATATTTATATGGTAATATTATGGTAATATTAGGGCTGGTATGGGATGGTATGGGATGGTATGGGATGGTATACCACATTGCCAAAGCACGGAAAGCAAGTGTAGCACAGTGCGCAAAGCGCCAGGTTGGCCCAGGACCTGAGCATCGAGAAGCGGCGAAGCCGCGAGGCTCCAAGAATTCCAGGCTCTTTTCCTTTCACATCTTTTCACTACACATGGGACCAGGTTTCTACTATTCAGAATGGAAAACCAAAACTCATACAAAGGGAAAACCAAAACTCCAATTCTGTGCAGCTGGGTGACTCGCCATTCCTCTCGTCCAAATTGTAAATCATACAAACGCCAACTTTGCGGGGTCGCGTCACCGCTGTGAGTCGTTTTGCGTAGCACTGCACCTGACATTAATACGTGGTTGAGTTTCAATTTGGCTTCAATCTGCTTTGAAGTTGATGAAAATCGAGACAAAGAAGCAACCTGCCTGAAAGCGGAATAAGCCAATGAAATATGCTACTGCTGGATGAAAGCAGAATAGTAGTGGCCACGGTGTTATCATCCTCAAGTGCGCGCAGCTTCACTTGTTTGGAAGCCATGAGAATCTTCAAGCTACATCTCGTCAAACCACCGACCAGTCCGAAACAAGGCAAGCTTCAGAAGCACCATGGCCAGCACGGTGCAAATGGATGGGGCTAGAGCAATGTCGTTGCCACCAACGGAAATTACTAGCATGTCGCAGCTGCGAATCCGATCGCGTATGAGTTCCTGGCGGAGCAAAGGTAGATTTGAAAGGCTGTGCCAGTATGAATTTTCAGGATTGAAAGTCTTTCAGACTAAGGACTTGAAGTCAAAAGAATATTCTTTCCTTCATCAATATTTATATATATATATAATTATATATATTGAGTCCCTGCATATGATGATTCTCGGCACCTCTTGTTCGTAGAGGCCACAGCAAGAAGGGACCACGCAGCATTGCACACCACCGACCCGGCTGGCGAGTGTCCTTATCTGAGCAGTGCCTTGCGTGCCTTGCGTGCCTTGCACTCCAGCTTTGCTAGGCTTTGCCAACTGCCTTGTCTGAGGTCAACACGTAGCTTCAATGGCTGTGTTCAGCGCAATTGCGTTTGCATTCATGTCTTGCAGGATTTGGTTCATCCAGTAGGTGACATCACAAACCATCCTGGAAGAAGCAAAGTCAAGCGCAAGCTATACCTCGTAGATTGCTGGGTGCTACAAAATACATCAAAATACTGCAAATATGTATCAGTCTCAAAGAGGCTGCAAGTGCAACTGCTGCAACTGGACATTGTTGCCATTCGCATCGATTCGCATCGTTGCACAAAGCAACTCCTCGGTGGATCAAGCAGGGTCTGGTAGCCGTTCACGGCTGGAGCATGTGAAGAGGGTGGCCGCCAGTAGTCTGCCGGAGCTCCCTGCAAACAGAACCGCTGAGAAGTGAAGTTCTTTCTGCATCAAAGCGTCTTGGAAAGTGAACATCTCAAAGCAAATCTGATTTCAATGTCGGATAATCTGCAATGCTGACTGCATGCTTTTGAAGCTTGGGGATAGGACATCCAAGCATGCCAAAGTACATGCCTGATTGAACAGCCATGTCTTGTTATCCAGCGAGGAGTCTCCAGCCAAGAATATCCTTGGCAGCATGGACCAGCACGGATGGCAAACACATAGCAGAAATTAGCAGAATCCCGGAAACAAACCTGCTGAATGTGCAGGTCTGAGCCAGGTATCACAGGCGTAGACTCTCCGTGTACGAGCAAAAGGCCATCCAGCAATCGTTCAAGATAACCTTGCTTGAAACATCTTGAAACCCAGACTTGACACATCAAGAGGTTTTGGAAGATACACCTGTGCAACAGCATGCATGACATTGGAACGGCAAATTGTATTCAAAATTTGCATGTAAAGTACTTAGTCTTGAAATCCACTGCAAACACACACGAACAAAGGAATGTAATAACTAGAGTAACTAGAAGGGCACCAGTCACTCGAGCACAAATTCTTCACCCCACCATAATTTTTTGCTCTTCTTTTCCTGAGCTCTTGCTGTTTAGCCGCGCGTGTCATGACCGTGGTAAGTGGAGTAGAAAGCTCCTTGCCATGGGCCACGGAATGTTTTCCGCAGTTTCTTCCTTGTGTATCTATCAGGCTCCATGGCTTGTCCAAACTCAGCGAGGTGTTCCGAAGCACCCCGCAGCAGAATATCTAAATGGATTAACCCCCAAGTACTGATTATCCAACTTATGCACTGTAGCATGCTGCAGTTGAAGGGCCGGGTGCGAGTTTTGGTAACACACAATCTCACCCACCCTCGCAAAGCACTGTTTGGATAAAGGCATAAACAAGCGATTAGAGTGGCAATGCACGACACAAACACACAGCCGTGAACCAGCACAGCACTCCGCTACGATGTGCACCTTGCACCAAAATAAGGTTCGCCATGTGTACATTGTACTAAATGAATCCAAAAGATGTAAAAGATCTGAAAAGTAAAGGTTTGCCCTGTGCATATAGGATCACTGCAGAGTCTTTCAAAGTCACGGTCCTGCTGGCACCATCTGTATCTGAGCCGGTGCTCGACTTCTTGGCGCCGGTGCTTCCAAGCAATTGAAACTGGCAAGCATTGATGAAGAATCCTGCCAAGCTGCAGGCTGCTAAATGAATCTAAATGAAACGCCACTTGCTTGAAGCAACAGAATCGAAGTACAGCCAAGAAAACTTCTAAAAACATTAAACATATTAAACATCGCAACATGATACAACAGGTATCAAAACTGCTGGGAATTCCATCCTCAGAACACTTGGCTGCAATATCTGGTCGTATCTGGTCACAGGACAAAACCAGTCAACTCTGCAGCTTTTGTATCAAGATGGCTCCTCGCTGCCGGTCTCATGGTCTTCACTTGCTTCACTGGTCTGCCCAACAACTGCCATCGTTGCAACTTTGGCGAACTTGGCTGATGCGCTGAGCTGCAACTGGTGTCACGTCAGATGATCTCCTGGGCTATTCCACTGAAATGCACTCGTCCAAGATGTAGAGTCTGTATGTGCAGCATTGTGCATTGTGCTATTCAAATTGCATCCAATTGCAACACTTGCCAAAGACTACTCCCAAAAGTCCATGAGTTGTTAATGCATATACAGCATATGCACAATGTCTTTGGTTGGCTCTTGAACCAGCTGCGGTGTTGAGAACACTTATGGCCGTGTGTTGATCTGACCAAGGGTCCGGTCAATCTTACCAACGGTTTCGTCATGCCAAGTCAAAGGGACGCAGTCCGTTGAATCCGTTTGCCCAAAAATATCACGACATGTCGTGGCTTCAACACCATGACACGTCCCCGCTTCTCATCCAAATTGATGCCAATGCATGCCAATGCTACATCATGCTACATCCATCTACATCCCACACCGAATGGTAAATGACTTGCTCCGGACAAAATGCACGTGGCACGTGGCTGAAGGTATTGGCCATCAACACTAAGTATGGCTATGTTGATCTGCCGCTGAAAAACAACGGGAAGAGCAAAACGAATTCCTGGAGCTTTGCGATCTTAGAAGGTTTCCATTAATGGGATTTAATAGTGGTTTAATATGGTTTAATGGTGATTCAATGGTGATTTAATGGGAATTAATGTGTGTAATTGTGTGTAGGTTGTCAGCTGGCACAACTTTTTGCACTGCTTCCGGATCTCTTCTGGCAATTCTGAGGACCGTTTCTTGGTTGCCACTGCATGCCTGGACACTTGTCCGTGTCAAAACAAGAAACTGTCGAAAAACTAATTTCTGAGATTTCTGGCCCATTAGGTCAAATTTCTATTATCGAAGACTAATCAAAGCTTCAGGGGGGGGCTTAAGTTTACGTAGCCAAAACAAACATAGTACTCAAAGCAAGTGGCGAAGGGTTGGGCAACAAGAGGACTTCAGGTTGCAGTGCAAGATCTCGAATGATTTGCTCGAGCACACGGCCCAAGTATTGGTCATCAGACCGATCATTCCGTATCTTCAGACAGAACACCCATTCCATCGAGGATACTTGGTCAGCCATTATCCATAGAGCATGGTGGACATTGCGCCGATCCCAATTCCTTTCACCTTCAACTGGTGGCCATTGAGTGATATGATGCCATTGATGCCATGATCTCTGACCTTCACCTTCCTTGGGCTGAGATCTGACCTCCAATAACGGACGTACATTGATGTATATGCGATCATCCCCGCTGGTCCTTGCAGGGTGCAACGATGTGCAACAATCAAAATGATCAAATCAACAGAGAAAACATGAGAAAACCGCCAAGGGCTCCCTTGGAGGGTCAGAACATTGCCGTTACGAATTGGCAAACGACCATGGACACATGAAAACAACAAACACGCATCTGCCCTTTCATCATTGAATCATTTCATAATCATTTCTAACAGTCCTGGGATCTGGCGCTTTCCAACGCCGGTGCCGCACACATTCTGCTATGCACCGCGCAGCATCTTCTACCGACACGTCGTGATTGAAGACAAGGTCAAGATCGCGGGAATCAGCAAAATCTGCCACCACAAAGCCTCCAGTTCCAGGGAGGCGTGTTTGAGAAAGCGAAACGACAACATTAAACCAGGAGGCAACTTGTGCTGGATTCTTTCCTGAGTGTCCAACTCACGCCAAGATGTCATCTTTGATTCCATAGCCCAACCAAATAGTGGGCAAAGTCTCACTACTGTACATATATGGTATGATATTGCATTATACAATTAATAAATGCATGGATTCCGACACAATGCTCCCGGAGGCACAGTAGCACGGAGCATTGCAAAACGCGATGGCAATGCTACCGCTGCTACCACTGCTCCCGGCCTTCATCACCTTGATCCCTGGCAGAGGCCACAAAGCGCAAACGCAGCGGAACATTGGAATGAAGACGAGCAAGTGCACTGCCAAGCGCTGCCAAAACGGCCACATCCAGGGAGCAGCACCACATCCGTTGCTCGACAATGGATTGCAGCGTTTTTACCGAGGCCTCCTGTAACCAAATAAAATGATCAAAGCCTTCCTAAGTTGCACAGCTCGAACTTCAAAGCTTGACTGGAGATACTGGAGATGCTGGGATGGAGTTTAGTGGCCCTGATTCTACTTAATTGTTCACCTGAACCCCCGAGAAAGCTTAATCATCTTTATGATTTATGATGATGACAGAGCATCAGAGGATGAAGAAGGTAGCGCCCAGCTTGCTATATCTGCGGTATCAGCTACGTCATTGGCTGCAAGCATCAGGGCCCCCTTCAACCTTGCTTCTTGCAACAGAAGCCCTGAGAATCTCTTCTGTGCTGAATCAGGTTGGTTCGCATTGAATGTGGTAGCTAGCCCATTGTAGAACTGTATGAAGTCTTGCAACAGGGGCAAGCCTGAAAATCCGTCAGACAGACCATGACTCACAGCTATGTGCAAACGACACTTTCCAGTTTCAGCATCCGTCAGCAGCACGGCATGTATAGGATTTTCTAGAAATTGACGTCCGTTTCGGCCATCCAAGAGCCATGTTGATCGCAATTCCAGCTGTTCTGAATCCTCACATTCAACCACATCCAGATTCACTTCAGGAGTTCTTTCATGCTGCAACCGAGGCCATGCAGTCCACAAAAGCCAACCTATGAAGTCCATGACGGACTCCATGATACTGCTGATTCTGCGATGTCGACCCCGTTGTTGTCTGCTTTGAAGTGGCTTCAGCCATCCAAATTCTGCATTCAACAGGGCTCGTGCCAACGACAAGTTGGCTGCAGCTTCCATGGCCACATCCCAGATGGCAGGAGGATCTGCTAGTTTTACGCAAAGTGCGCCATGCTTTGTGAGCAAACTCTGCAGTGCGCTTTGCACTCTTGCAACATCCACCTGTTCCGATTCCAAAGCCCAACAGACTGAGAGGGAAAACATGTATGGCCACTCTCGGACTTTGAAGAAATGTGGCTCTGCGGATCGTGTTGCTTCAGCATCATGCTGCTTCTCTGCTACCAGTCTGCTCAGACTGCTGATGACTTTCAGCAAGTCTGCCACAGTGTCACACGCAAGAGCATCACGCAAGGTCAGTTGAGGTGCCATGGATTTACGCAAACCACCCACCAGTGCAGTCAGGCGCAAGGAATCAAAGGCTGTGGCAAGAGGCATCTTTGCTTCCAGGCAAACACCGGCTTCTTCTCGTAAGTACTCCAAGAGGCTGAGCTCAGCATGCGATAGATCCTCTGAAACCGAATGGACTGAACTCGAGCTTTCTTTCATGCCCGTAGGTTCGTGGTCCACCCAAACCTCAGAAGAGTTTCTGCTTCAGAATCAAAAATTCCAACAGGCATCGTGGTCATCGGTTTTCTAGATGCTACAGCATGCACCATATCCATTCATCATCATGAATTCACCGACCACCATGACCATCTAGCCATACCTAGCCTCTTCGCTGTTCTTTACTTGCCTGCAAGCACGAACGGTTCCAGATCAGTTGAGGAACATAATCTAGACGTGGACGCTGACGTGGACGTTGGGCTGCTGCGTCCCAGTCCCATTCGCAAGGCCGCTTTGCAGGTAGGTACCCAGTACGAAGACGGCTAAACAAATCCTTGCCTTGGTGCAAGGAGCAGACTCAAAGGAGCGAATATGGAGTCATCTCAATCTCAAACGCTCAGAGCCTTTGAGACTGACTGAGTTCAATGTCTAAGTGTTTTTGTTGGTTTTTTTGAACCTCAAAGTGAACCGCAAACGAGAGAACAGTGCGCAGCTCTGACGACAGCGAGGTGCGCATCGTGTACCAAACAACACAAATTATCTAGAATTCAGTCAAATGTGTGAAAATCCGCCAACCACCATCGATTAGTTTTTTGATGCAAAATGGCCAATGATCTGGTTGATTCCGCGCTGCGACACTCATGTATTGTTCACGTTTCAATGCCTCGAATCTATTTTTTTGTGTAATGTATGTGTATATATTAATATATTTGTTTGTTTGTTTGGGGACGCAGTTCCATGCTTCTCAAAAATCATGAATGTTGAGAACACCCACAAGCACAAAGACTGACTGAGAAACTAGTAACTAAACTATACATATGTAACATACATGTTACACACATGACTTCATATATTCCCACTTCACTGTGTTTAATTGAACATTGGGTGTCACATGCAGCTGAGCTGCAGCCCGTGAAGGCTTTGGCCGCGAGCTCCAAGCTTCGTGTCGGATGAAGATACCAACCTGGGAGGACCGGAGAAGTCACCACTCGACTGTCTCAGCAGCTCAGCAAAATGCCCAGAAACTTTGAGGTAAAGAATATCCTGTCATATCGTGTCCGTGAAGCTTACAACCACCGGGCCATGTTGGCCCCAGCAAAGCTCTTATTCCAAATGAACTTGCGCAGAGTCTGATCCAAGGAGCTGTACCACTCCAAATCCTGACAGGGCAGGAAGGCGCAGCTACACACCTATCTTCCATGGCTCTTGCCATATAGGTCCACAAGCTATGCATACAATGAAACTATATAACATCACATTATAGTATATATACATATATATATATATCATTATATATAATATACAGAATATGACCTGAACTGACTTTGTGATATAATTTACTACTATAATAGAGTATAAGAATATTATAACTATAATTAACAACAGTCAGTCGTTGATCGTCATAGCTCCTGGATGACTTGTCGCTGCAGGCTGCTGAGGCCCATCCACCACATCATCCACGTCCCACAGCATCGACGGCCCAAGCGCCAAGCGCTCAGGGCTGCAGCAGCCACCAGGACATTCCAGGGCCTTAGATCCGTCGAATCATGGGTAGGAATGGGATACTAAAAGGATCTAAAAGGTATACGTATATCAATGATTATTAATGGGTGTAGATGACAAAACCATGGACAAAACCATGGACAAAACCATGGACAAAACTATATGGCGACCTTCTGAGACTTTCGGAAGTGACATGCGATCAAGTTGAAACGCTGGGGTCGAGGCAAGAGAGCCAGCATCACACTTGTGCTCAAAGAGGGCAGTCGCCTCGGACGAATTCTGAAAGATCCAACTTGTAGTAAGGCCGGTGGTTTGATCACTGACAGTGGCTGGGAAAATTTATTGAGGAATAATATGCCGTTCTGTGAAGTAGTTTCTTTTTGTCGTCAGGACTTTCTCTCTATATATCCTTTTTTCTTTTGTTCTTTTGCGCGAAGGGAAAAAAACTGAGTTCCAAAGTCTTGTTCGACACCCAACAAGATCGTATTGGAGTCTTATAAGCCCCAAATTGGATGCTTATGATCGACATCAACTGCTGGATCTGAGGACAGCACACTGCAAGATCCTGGGCGAAGAGGCTTCCCTTGCGCCGTGGAACCTCACTGACAAAAACAGCAAGAGCATCGAACATGTATATAAAATGAAGGAAAATTATGTAAAAGTTCCCCCAATCTTTAAAAACTCGGACCTGTTTCTATTGAGCCAATATTGCTGTACAAACTGACTGAACAGGTTCTTGGGGTACTGCACTCCAAGCTCTGGACCAAGAGCTGCTGCCAACCATTCCACACCAGTGGGAGCAGTAGCCTTGCCGGATCTTGGGGGAGGCTCCAGGTCTCTCATCATCACTACCAATGAGGCTTAAATCGCCGGCATGGGCGAACACACTCCATCAAGGACAGACAGCAACCACATTTTCTTGGCAACCACACATTCGCCAAGCATTAGCACGGCTGGTCACCAAGCCGAAGAGTAAGCCCCGCAGCACCTGCAAACCTGCAGAGTACAAATTCTCCCAAGCTGTTTGAGCAAGTTCTACCAGAATTCTCCTGCAAAAGATGGCAAAGGAAGTCTATGTCCATGCAAGGATGAACTTGTTGTACCTAGACCTGCTCGCATGCGTTGCAAGAACTTCAAAACTACTTTGTACTTGATAATCTAAAGATGAAGGTATCTACCTGTCACATGTGCACTGTCTGCTCCCTCACCTTTTTCTCTGATTCGATGAGGCGCCACTGGTGAGCGTTGCAAGTACTGAGAGGCCTTAAGGTCCGAGGATGTCTCTGCAATTGCTATGTCCTTGTCCCTTTCTCCCAGACTTTCCAACTGAAGACCCTCCAAAAGGATTTTGCGCAGCTTGCAACAAGACATCCATGAGACGCTGAGACAAACGCATCTATCGGCATCTTGGTGGATGATGTCGCCGGTGATACCGATGCTGTCTGTGGTTGCGGTAGCGCCTCATTGCGTGATGGCCTGATTGTGTTTTTTCCATGAACTCTGCTCCTCTATCGCCGTTCCTGACATCCACCCAACTAGGGTTCGGAGCCTCCTCTTGAGTACAGTGAATATATCAGAACGATTCAGAACATCTATTTTAGATCATTATAGGCTAGTATATATTACATAATTATATACATATTCTACTATATTCTACTAAATATATACCATTGAACACCATTGATATTCTGTCGGAATCTAAATCTTCTGCGTCAGTCTTTGCCCTGAGAGTCCAGGCTTTCCGATCCACTTTGCCAGTGGACGTGCGCGGCCAGTCCTCCACTCCAATGACTTTGCTAGGCCTTGCATGGTGATTTCATGGATCAGCGCCATTCAGCGCCATTCAGTGCCATTCAGTGCCATTCAGTGGCCATTTTAGATTCCCCAATTTACATTGAAAGGCCAACAAACTCGGAAGACTGTCATTGCATGCCCCGATACTTAACTCCACTTTCCAAACCAAACACGATTCCCCATATTCTATGTCCAGCAAAGTCAAGATATGTCATGCTGTCTGCAAGGAATCTGCAAGGTAGCTGAGAGCAGGACACTGCATGCGCCAACAGCTTCCCTTGAGAGGCTTTCAGCAGTGTTTCTGTTTCCTGTGCTGACAAAGGCCTTGGCTCCACGGAACGATACACAACAAAACATGACAGTGGTCGGACCACAGTGGTCGTAGTCGAGTGCCAAATTGACGTCTTATCCTGTCGCATTTCTTGTGGCTTTCAATGGGGAACCAGCGGTGCCCCACTCGCTTCTTCCGAATGTCCAGAACTCCTGGGATTCCCACGGCCGAACATATGCAACCAGTCTTCGCCTGAGATGAACCGGGTTGCGCACCGTGTTGAAAATGGTTGAAATAACTGAGCTCACAACGTGATGGGACACAAGGTCACCAGTGCTTCTACCTGCCGCGAAAGTCGTGATTCTGCCTGCCAAGGCCAAGAGGAATGTGCTGCAAATCCAGTCCTGTCACTCTGAAATCTGCAAAATCCAAGTCCCAAGTGCCAGTCTACTGAGTCTACTGTCCTATTCTTGGGAATGCGGAAAAAGGATCCATCCAAGATGCCATATTCCAGATTTACCTCGCATTCCTGCAATCCATATAGCTTCCAATTTCCCATGATTTCCACTTCCAACATCCAACTCCCAAACATCCAACCGCAACAATCGCGGTTGGAACCAATAGCCTCTTGCTTCATCACAGCTTCAATCTCCAGCAACTCAAGGCGATGGCCCCTGACCTTCACCTGAAGGAAACTAGCCATTTTTTTTCGGAGATGTTTGGCTTCTGTGTAATTCATACCATCTTTAATGTATGGAATAGGATCCATGTATGGTATATGTATGGTATATGGATGGTATATGGATGGTAAATGGATGGAATATTATGGAATCTGGAATTGACAACACCGCATTTAAATAGACAATATCAATCGTATGTTACGCAAATCAGGTTGATGGTTTCAGCCTCAACACAGATACTGCAGGAATCCATCATCCCATAGAGACAAAGATGATAATAATGGGATGATGGGATACTTCCAGTACTTCCAACATCTTCCAACATCATGGGCCCCGAAGGGGCAGGCATTTCAAGTGGGGCAGCCTCTCAGACACTCTCCATTGCGATAAGTCCGCCTGGCGATCCTTGCGACCCAAACAAACCAGCTGCATTGACCCAGCAAATGGAACCTGGAGCGCAGCAACGTGTTGCAACATAGAATGGCTAGTGAGTACTCCGACAGATGTTCTGCTCAAGGCTACAGTCTATGGCGGGAATGGAGCTTGAAAGGAGTCTGACTACAGAATCGGTATGAATGAAGCTGAATGCCATAGACCTTCGAACCCAGCACGAGATTTGGACTTACAGTATTGACTAGAATTGAATTTTGCTCTGAACCACAGCTTGATGCTCCAGGGAGAACTAGCGCAGCCTCTGCTCCAGCCACTGCTAAGCTGCTCACCCATCGAGCCAAATCACCAGTGTGCAAGACTGCGCCGGCGCCAAGCTGAGAGCCCTGTGCGTCGGACCCCATGTGCTGTCGCTTTGGTGAACTGAGAACTGACATCGGTTCGACCCCAGTGACTGTTCTCATCCACCAAATTCAAAATATGCCAAGCTATGCCAAGCTACAGTCAACAAACCCTTTCTTCCAGCCTCCATTTCTTTGTCCAAATGCAAACCAGGCCCACCTACCAGCAGTTCACCTGGACAAAACCAAATCCCAGGGCCAAATTTGATGCTTCTGGCTAGTGGGCTAGAAGCAAACCCAGCAAAGGAAGATCATATCATCATATGCGTGATCCTTGTCAGCATGCTGGATGAATTGGTCAGGTGAATCGAACATTAAATTGCATGAAATTGCGGCAAAGCCACCCATGATGCACAAACAGTTTGCATGTTTTTCAATTTGAAGTCCATACATTCGATATCAAAGGTGCCTAGCTCTGCAATGTCGCACATCCCATGCCAGTGCTCCAGCCACACCTGTCAAGAATCAATGTGTCAAGCCTGTTTCAGCACGTGTCAAACAGAACAAGATCAACACATCTTTGGAAACCAACATTTTAAAAATGTCCACATACTGTACAATATTCAAGCACAGGCTCCCTTCAAGGTTTCCTTGCGATCTGTTTTCGCTCAAGCAATCCGGTCGGGACTTGTGAAACCAGTGAAATCACAAGAACTCTGACGATCCAGGGAAGCCAACACATCCATCTCACTGGCAGTAAGATCTGGTGATTCCTTTGAACTCAAGTTTTCCTTGAGGCGGCGTGTTGAAGTAGTCTTGGCAACTGGAGTAAGGCCACGCTGCAAGTGCCATTTAAGAACAACTTGTGCGGGAGACAGGACCTTCGAATTGGCCACCTGAGCTCTGCTTTTCGAACAGTTCCTGAATATGACTGAAAGATATTGAAAAAAAAACTACCAGCAAAAACATGCAAATGATATGTGTATTATAGGAATATCATGGAATATCTAAGACAAACAACTGAATCATATTAATATCTCGATGATGCAACAAGAGCGTAGGGATATATACATGGCTTCATATGGCTTCTAATCTGAACGTGTGTAGGCTCCAACAAAATGATCCCTCCATCAGCTACCATCCTTGATCACCCTTTTTCATCCCTTGCAGGGCATGGATTGGCGAAGAGGAGCTCCACTTGAACCAGCGTTGTTTGTTGTATAAAATGGTAGAAACATGTCAGTAAATCCATAAATCCATAATATTAATATGATTTAATATGACTATGTCATGGTGTTGTAAGTTCCAAAATAGTCTTGCTCTCCCAACATCTATCACCGTCCATCTGCAAAGGAACCTCCAGAAGAAGCGGATCCCGCAGAAGTTGAAGCTGCCCAGATGCCAACGGTGAATATGCCTGAATAGAAATGCCGCGATCTTGGCTGTACCTCTGTGTCGCATGTGAGAGGTGTTTTTGTTCTGTTGTGCGACAAATTCTGAATATCACCCAACTCAGCATCAGATTCAGAATGGACACATGTTTCGTATGCAGGCCTTCATTCAGCACTCTGACTTTGGAGATAAGTGCTTACATACTTGGACCTAGAGCATATATATATATTATAATATTCAGCAATATACAATTTCACACCTAGCATGTCCCAACTTCCGAATTACATCGAATTACAGTATCCCTTGTGAAAGTTTGAGTGATGCACTCGAAGAAAGGGCTACAGAAAGAATAACTGCTCATATTCCAGGAATGAAACCGAGTTGCCGAGTTGCCTTGTGTGACACAAAAAATCTTACAACCACCTAATTTACCTAATGGCGACTTCCTGAAATCAGACATACAATGAACATCAATGAACACGAACAGACTGTAGGTATCTGTAGGTCTTATCTGGCGCCAAAATACTTCACCAAGTCTTTCTGCTGGAAGTATGGGTGCACTTCCACTTGGTTCACTGCAGGAAGCACATCAGTGTACAACAACATCTCCTCACAAACAACACTTAAGATTGCTTGTGAAAAATACTGGGATTGTGAGATTATGTCGAAACCTCTGAGAGCCCTTGGTCCTCGAGGTGGCGAATTGTGAAATTGGAAACGCCAATCTCGTTGATCCTGCCTTCCTGCGCAACTGCATGAGGTCAAATGTACGAGAGTTCGGCCAGCAGCCTAATATTTACGGAGCAGGTTACATGTAGTACACTGTAAGGTGCAGTACGCTGCTGCTCAGCTACCGCATTGCAAGACGGGATGTGGTCAGAAAAAAAGGCATCCTGGGGCAAGTATGTGTTTGCATGCTATGCCTACTCTGATATCATGCACATCACATATTCAGCGTGTGTCTTCTAATGATATGTCAACTACTGTATGAGGTGTCCAAACTCATTAATATATCACAGCACCCTTTGATTCCTATTGAATCCTATTGGTGCCAATGCATACAAAAGGATCAAACTTTGCCCTGGCTCCCATGGTCCTCTTGCAACTCTCTCATAGCTTTCCAGCTACCCTCTCGCAACATGCGATTGCCTGTTGAAAGAAGCCAACACTGTCTATCAGAGGGAGAAAAAAACCAAACATGATCACGTAAATTCAATGTTGCTGGTCCTCAGATTGTTCCAGAATGTTCCAAGTATGTGAACAGTAGCCGGACCTGTCAGTAGTGCTAGTCAGTCCATTTCTGAAAATGTCTAATATTCGAGAGGTGGATGCAATACAAGTACATGCACACCAGATCTTGCCGAACAGATCTTGGGAACCTCAATCATCCCGACTAGAACTCGTGATGTTGGTACTCTGTATTACTCTGTGAATGGATTTTTCATGATTTTTGGAAGCGAAAGTCAACTTCAAACGCTCAACTCAGAGCTATGCTTGAGTCACTTTAGTCAAACTTTAGTCGTACAGCCAAAGCAACTGCGATCACCGGAAAGCCATCTTCCGGGCCAATGCAACAGGACCAGATCTGCCGTGATCGCCCCCAACCTGGCACGGGAGATGTGTCGCCAATCTCGCACTATGACTGCTGTAGAGAGGAATCTTTTACATTCTGTAGCTCGTTAGCTCCTTCACAGCTTAAACATTCTTGATCTGGTAGATTTCACTACGACTCCCACGGAACTCCTACAGAAAATGTGACCTTAGGGTTCAAGGTCAAGAATCGCTGACCTCTTTTTGATGATCTTCATGCATCTGTTCATCTAGTCTCAGAGGTGAACAGAGAGGGAATGACATGTGAATTCGCGGCCAGCCTCTGCAATGACTGATTCACAGACTCTCTCGTCTTTTCATAGCCCATGTCTGACCACCATACCTTTGTGGTGACCTAAGCAGAACACGATACTACCGAGTTCTGGGCTCCAGAAACCAACACTACCCAGGCTCATTGTTTACAATGACAAGTCCCAACAAGCGAAAGGAAGTTTCAACATGTTTCAACATCTCACATCCTCAGGCTTTCACTGTTATGTCCTTTCTGTCAGAAACCTGAGCTGAGAAAACTTGAGTCTACCAGGTCGCGATGCAAACACGAGTGACATCTGACACGATTACAAAGCATCAAAGCTTGAAAGAATGGTTGGCAAAACTTTATATGTAGCTAGTGCCTCTCGTACAGAATAACTCTGATCCAACTTGCATGTGACAAGACCCCAAAGGGTAAAATAGACGCAAAGCTCAAATATGTCGCTGCTTGCCAACCTGCAGCTATTTTGTCGTCCATGGCTTTCTGCACTGCTCTTCCCACAGTATCTTCATTGCCATAGAAAGCGGCAGTGTCCAGCAGCCTGCCACGGCAATTGAGCCAATGTAGAATCTGCATCAATCTCAATGTATGTTTATATCTCTATCTATATCTATCAATCTTTCAATCAATCAAACAATCAATCAATCAATCTATCTATCTATCTACCTACCTACCTATCCATCTATCCGCCTATTCACCTATCTAATCTAATCTAAATTTACTAGTCTAATCTGATCTCTTCGATTCTATCTATCCATCTAATCTATCTAATCAATCTAGTATTATTGTTATCATCTTTGCAAACCCTCTGGCGGGATGCGGGCCTGTATCCCAAGCCAAGAGCCGTCACAAGCAGCGTCGCATCCCGCAGGCCCGATGTGCCAAGGCCCAGTTGAGGTGCTGGGCGCGGCCTGCCATGTATTAAACATTATTAAACCATCCATGTTGGAGCGTAAATTTGACATAATCTGACCCATCCCCATTTGCTATGACTGCTATGATCATGCTGATTTTGATGTTGCCATGGTCATGGAGTCATGCCTACCACCGTGCTATGTGAATGCTTCGGTCATGCAGTGCATCCATGTAGTCAGTCATGCTCGGTTCTTGTGCACTGCAAGGCCTCGCAACGCTAGCTGCCAACGCTGTCACTACACTTCGCCTGCAGAATCCATTCAAAGAAAGACAGAGCTTCTAGCATTGAAATGAGCCAAAAGATGCCAAAAGGTATCATCTGTGCCGAGGCAAAATCAGATTGTTTCGAAAGGGTTCTGCCATGTTTTGAAAGAATATCCTGAAGGAGATCGGTCGATTTGGGCACACAGGGTCATATATAACGAGTCAAGTCTGACTTGAGGGCCAACAAGGATTGAAATAGGGATTTTTCGACAACGCCTGTGTTGCAATTTGGGGCCAAACTACAAGGTAAACTGGATGCAGCGCAGACTAAATATCAGCACTTCTGATGCTATCTGTAACATGAATCAAATGAGCCTGCAAGGCTCCCTTCGTTGAAGGGTATACCATAATTCGCGTCTGATATGAGCCACTGACGGCGGTGGTGTCTACGTTGGCTAACATTGCATCCTGATCAGAATTCCTCATATGTATGTGATTGTATATGTATAATAACACTGTAAAATATTCATTCGTATCCTTCTAAAAAAAATGTCCCATGGCCATGTCAGATAGCCAGTGGTCTCAGTTGTGGCTTGAACTGAGCAGATAGGTGCCTTGTGGGGGCTTGAAAGGTGACTTGCAAACGGCAAGTCAGAGGCAGAATCCTGAAGCGATGGCCATAGCAGTTTCATCAGTCGAGTTTACTGGATCTCTTGCAACAGGCTGTTCTTTGCACAAGGCGTCTTAACACCTTTTGCAAAAGAAATAAACTTGAACATCTTGAACCATGTTGAACCTATGAAGTGTGGACGAAAGCGCAACTCTGAAGTGTCGTCGGTGCCCAACCCTTCACCATCTTCAACTAAGTGGAGCTCAATGCTAGGACCGCTAGGACGGTGAGCTGGGACGAGGTAAGCCAGTTGCAACGCCGCATCTTCATGCTATCCATTCTTTCCCCATGGAAGCCGCATCACTGTCATTGTCCATGTTCATCATTGTTCATCATTGTTCATCCATGTTCATGGATCCATGTTCATCCTATATTATCTTGTTGAGAACTGTACTTTAGATTGAGGATCTACAGTAGGCTTGACATGTTGTTTTCATTTGTTTTCAATATTTTTGGATTTACAGTAAATGTTTGTTGTGCCAACCTTTGGTCACAGTCAAGACTGCATTCGAGATGATTGGGCAAACAGACAGTTCGTCTTGTCGACAAATTGATGACGGCCGAAGGAGCTTGAGCATAAGTTCCGATTGAAGACCTGTGCAAAGATTCTTCTGGTGTCACACGCCCATATGATCCACAACCAGTCATCTCATAATTACATCAAGTCTGTGCAAGGTTGGAAATTAGAATTTATCCAACCTATTATCATTAAGGCACATTAAGGCATATTAAGGCTATTGTTTGAGAGTTTGGCCATCCAACCATTTTTTGTACCCGGTTAAAACTTCCCCAGACACTGCCCACTGCCCACCTGCCGCTGCGTGGCTGGCCGCCCAAGCGGCACTGAAGCTGCGCGAAGGCCAGGTTCGACCAGATAGACAGTTGTGGTGTCAGCTGCCTGGCATCAAAGACATCCAAAAAGATATCCAATAACACCAAGTTTCCATGCATATCATTGCGATATCATGGCAAAGCATCGCCAATCCAAGAAACTAAACTATAAATATCATCAAATGTCTATACCTCATTGTATGCGCAAACACCCCGATTGACACACAACATCGTCTTGCAACTTGGCCAACAGACCAATCAACCAGAGTTCTAAGGCTCAGGGCCAAGATGGCCAAGGTGTTACAGTAAGGGTTCAACGGTTTCAATCAGTTTAGAGTTCTAGGGTGTAAAGTTTTACAGTAGGGTTTAGCTTTGTGAGGTTTGTTTTTGGAGGGGGGTTGGAGTTGCTGCGCACAGCGCGTGGCAACGCTTCCTGTGCTTGTTGGCACAAGACAAATTCTACTTCAGCTAGCTAGAACTCACTACATGTACGAATACCAGCGTTTCGGAGCTGCCTAGAAGGCTCGGCCAGATGCCGCAGGCAAACGGAGTTGCTAGCCCGAAAGTGTACTGAATCAAGCGTATCAGTTGTTTGTGTCAGGTGCCTCTAATCCCAAACAGCCTCCAAGTACTTTTTGCGCACGTTTCGTCTGAGTCACATACCAAACCAGAACAAATCTCTTCCTGCCAGAGGCAATTGATTCAGTCTGGCCTCAGTCTGCCCATAGTGATTCCGCAGAGTGGTCAAGCTCGAAGATTGCACACGGTGGCAGAGTTCCATGGGAAGTGGCTCGCCTGCAGTCACTGCAGTCCACAAGGCATCTGCATCGAATGGTCGCAGCTCACAGCATCTGAGGCGTGGGCCTGTGAGCACTAGCTGGTGGCAGATGCTGCTTACTGGATGCAGGTCTGCCAGTAGCATGGCCTGGTCATGACAGGAGCTGTTGCAGCAAGAAAAGGTGTAAGAATGAGAAACGATACTGTCATGTGGCGTCAAATGACACAATACATTTTGATACATTTTGCAAAACACCTTGCACATCCTTCGACCTTTAAACTCATATGAACTCACATCCATTCACAATACCATACAACACTGCCTGCAGAACCGAGGGTACATATTGCTGCAAAGTGCAACGGTTTGCAAAGGCAGCCTAGACACATTTAGGCAGTGGTGAGCAAAGCAGCAATGATGCTTCAGGGGCCACAACAGCCACAACAGCCACAACAAGCTCAAGAACTCAAGCGACTCAAGGGGTTGTCAAGGAGTGGAACATCCCGTTGCAATAATCGTCAGTTGTCGATGTTGTCGGCTCAATCAAATCAATTCAGAGAGAGATTCACTGGAATCTGAGATGCTGGCAAGAGTTTCCAAATCCCTTGCTCCTGCAGAGCCACCAAAGACTGCACACAGTACTGGTAGAATCTGGTAGATACTGCGAGTACAGTATGATACAGTATGTGTATGTATGTGTAGTATCGATCTCGTCAACAGGCTGTCTGGGTTTCAACTCACTAATTACTAATTACTGATTACTCTTTAGATCTCTTTAACATCTTACAAGCAGCAGGAGATCCTGAACTTGAAGAGCAAACATGAAATGTCTCAAGTGCTTTTGCAAATCAAAACCCACTCCAATACAGAACCCACCAGGTCGATCTGACTTTCGTGCAAGAACTACAGACTACAGACTTTTAAAGAATCGCCAATCACAGCTGGTCATCTGCTGTCACAAAAGTGCTGTGTGAAGTCACCTCATCTGGCTGGGCTCTATCACTGCAGATTCTAAGCTCCCGGAGGCTCCCGTTTCATCTTCAAACAGATGTGAAAGCGCCGATGCTTTCACGCGTCCTCCTTTGGCTGCCAATGGAGCAACTGCCAACTGGGCATTGGCCAGCAAAGGTGTCCAAACCTCTGGAGCTGCAGCGACCCAGGCAAGACTGGTATGTTGCAGAGCGACCTGCCAGATCCGTGGATCCCATCGGATCCCAAGATCTGTGCCGGGTTTGGGTGGTCGGTGGTCAAATTGGAACAGTGAAATAATGTGAATGCGGCATGTGGATGCATGTGGTACTGGAACGACCAATGTGGGTGGCATGAGGCCTTGTACATCTTTGTACTGTAGCATGAGTCTTAGAAAAAGCTCACTCTCCATCACTTTGCAACTCTTGTGCATCGGGGCTTCCGCGCAGAGCTTTCCATCAAATGATGTTTGAACGACCATCTTGCTAGAGTTTAAAGTTTAAAGATTGAATTCGGGAAAACATTGGAATTCGGAAAACAAAAGAACAAAAGAAAACCTCTGCATCAAGAATACATCTTCAACTGAAACCCATTCCCGAGGCATTCACATCTGTTGCTTGAAGCCGATGATGTCGCACAACGTGCAACAAGTGAGTCATGACCTTGTCCAAATTCGGTCACAAACCGTTCAAAATCATGGTGGAAACAGGGAAATCAAATGTGTTAGCTGTGTTAGCTTGATGGCATGCTCAACCAATTGGGATAACATGATACAACAAGTATCAACAAGTGCTTGTTAACTTCTGAATTCTGCAAAACCGCTGGCCACTTGGGTCCCCGACAGCAGTGTGAGAAGCACGAACGACCTTCGGCTTACCAGTGGATCCGGAAGTGAAGAGTACCTTGAGGCTGAGCATCTGTTACCCAATGTTACCGTCACGTGCGATCTTGTTTTGAAAAACTGAACACCAACAATTACGTTCATATCATTCTTGCGAATCAACTGGCATCTTTCAGCCTGGAGGAAAGCAGGCATTCCATGATGTCCCTGAAATTCCATGGAATTCCTACATGGTCACGTGCATGGCAGCATCTCCGGAAGTGGCATAAGATGTCTGCACATCCCGAAGGGAAAGCTTCAGCCTCTCGTGGTTGTCTGTGGTGATCAAAATGTCACATTATCATTTTATCTTCAGATGAGGCTCAAATCTGAAATCGACAAACAAGGGGGGGATAGAGGTGCAGGAGTTGGAAGCCGATCTTGTCCAGAGGGCCGATGCATGGCCGATGCCATTGTACAGTGTTGGCAGTGGTGTTCGTTGTCACGTTGTCCTGTGCTCTGTTTTGATATACCAATCTTGGAAGCCTGTCAGCAGACTCCAAAACCCGCCTCGATGATGCGTCCAATCGAATACAAACCTCACATGCCCAATCGAATACAAACCTCACATGCTGACACGCGTCTGCCTATCCAGTGACACTGAGTAAGGTGAGACTGGTGATCTCGTACCACGAAACTCCTCTCATGAGTTAGCCACGACCTTTTTCGTACCTCAAGCATCCTGAATCCACAAAAGGCGACAGTGAATAAACATCAAAACACAATAAAAGCATCCAACAGCTAAAATGGCAGGAGCACCCCAATATGATGGTGGATTTTGATGGATGTTTGCTGAATTTTCTCATGTGACGTGCAGAATGTCTCAGCCAAGGCACTGCTGAGAGCCCTCTGTGCTGTTGGAGATGGTCTGCAACTTGTTGTGCCGATTCTTGGAAAAGCATTTCCGTGATAGATGCGATGGAAATCATCGAAACCTCGTGGAAAAAAACATGAAAAAAGTGTGCCACGCTGTGTCAACTGGTTGCCCTGAACACTACTACTTCCTCGGAAAAACAAACATGTGATGATCTACCCAAGTCCGTCTGGACCAACCATGGTGAAGCGAACAATATTCTGACGTGTTCTGTGAACAAACCTCAAACATCCTCAAACTGGCAAGTCAATATGAAAGAGTCAACGGAGTCAACAGAGTCAATGAGGCTCAAGCTAGTCGATCCAGTGGCTGCGACGGGATGAGTGGGCAATATGCAGCACCCGCAAACCTTGGCGTCGTTTTCGAGTAGATGCAGTAGAAGTGTCTTAGGTCCTAACTATTCCTAACTCATGAGATCGGGAAGATCCGCAGAAAATCACGATATCATGTCACAGCGCATTGGAGTGCACAGTTTTTTCAGCTCATTGCTGTGCAGACTTGATTTGCAATGCACTGATATAGCTTATGGCCGTTGGCTCTCGACTATAGTAAGATGGCGTTGCAATGTGTTTCATGCTGTGCAGCTATCATTTAGTTTCCTGCATTGGTCTTCAGCAAACATGGACAGCTACAAATGATAGCAAATGATCAGAAATGCATCAAAACCATTCAAAACCCGCAGGCTTACAGTCTGATGCGGTACTCAATAGTAGTCAGATGTAGTCAGATGTAGTCATCACAGCTTCAAAGGCAGCGGCAGTGCAGCCATCAGTCCAACCACAGCTGCAGCTGATCGCTCCGAAAGCACTGCCGCAGTGGAGCTTCGATCCTTTCTTTTGCGAAGGAGCCTCGAGTCACAACAACGCTGTAAGGTGCAAAGACAAGGAAAAACATCCATAAGCAAATCTGCAAATTGCTGTTGTGTTTTTCTCTCACAACGTCATGAAAGTAAATCGATGTAAATCGTGGATATTTCATCTCCTTTTAGGGTTCTGTCGGGACGACTGAGTGGCATGGTGCTTTCAGTATTCAAGAGGACCTCAAACAATGCCAAAAGCAGGACGACCCCTCACTCGCCACCAAGAACCGCATATCATACGGTCTTCTCACAGGCAAAGGAACTCACTAGCGGTCACAACTGCGCAAGAGAAAAGCTCGGAGTAGCTCAGCCTCAGAAGTCTTGCAACAGATTAAGTCACGTTGCTGGGCTCCCAGCAAATGAACCACGCCGTAATGATCGTAATGTTGCATGTGGTAACTGACTGGTCGCATGAGTGGAGCGCTTGGACCCATATTGCTCCAACGGCAGTCCAAAGCTTGCAGGTTCCGAAATTTGCACCTCATTATTTTTCAATGTTTTTCATAGAATTTTGCCACAGAACATGTCATCCATCTCCGCGATGGCGGTGCTCCGCGGTGTCCGTTTGGCAGATTGCAACAGAAGTTCTAGAAGGTTTGCACGAAGAAGGGGCGGAGATGCGGCCACACCCAGATCAAACGCAGCACCTTGGAGCTGGCAGAGTTTCATGTCGCGGCTGCACTTCACACCAAGCTATTTCCTTTGCATACCAGTATGCTGCAGTATGCTGCAGTATGCTGCAGTATGCTCTTCCGTATTTCCATATATTTCCTTTGTCATTCCGTGGATGTGGACGTGTTGCATGTGCAAGTGTTTCCGTACGTATTACATCTCATTACGCAGTAGTATGCCGTCCCATGGACGCTTTGACAACGAATTGCAAACCCAATCTTCCAAAAGTCCCACAAGTCCTATGAGCCAATGATACATTGATGGTTTCAGAGAAAGCCTCCATTCAACCGGGACACATGTTTTTCCAGACGTGCTATAGCTGCTGACATTGTTGGATAGGCGGCTTGCGACGATCTTTGCCAAGGGCATATCAAAGCCACGCACCCCAGAGAAGAGCAATAAACCACAACCGTGGCTCCTGGGAACTCTAGTGGCCCAAAGATGTAGCTTACTGCTCAATGATGCTTAACGTCGATTTTTCTACATGTGGAACTTTCCAGACTTGAATGCAACATGCATTATGCAATATTATTGCAATATTATGCATATAGTATTGTATCGTCTGTATCGTTCAGTTTCAGTATGTTTCAGTATGTTTCAGTATGTTTCAGTATGTTTCAGTGGATCAAATACAAAGGTAAGACTCTCCTGGCCAGCACCACTACAAGCTCCACGCTCTGAAGATCTCGATGTGAGGAGTAGCTTTGCCACAAATGACAACATCCTGAGTCACAAATCACACAAAACTTGCATTATTTCCATTGGCTTCATAAAGCTGATCAGCTGGGAGACCAATACTACCTTGTGTTGCCAAAGGTGCTACATGTCGCTACATGTACTATGGCCTGCCTTACATAGGTTGATGTTCAGCAATATTCAGCCACGTTTGGCCCTATTGACTGACAACCGGCTTCTGCTTTTGTCCGTCCAGCATCTATCACCCCACCGCTGCATGCTCTCTGGACTCTTGGACACGGGACCTTAGAGACCAGAGATGCTCTATGTCTTACGCAACTTTACTGCCCAGCTCTAAAAACAAGATAAACAAGCCAAGCTGTTTAGATTGTTTAGCAGATTCTGTCTAGCGCAGCATCCTCAATTACTCTTGGAGGAAAGGTCCAGCTCCCGATTGCAAGTACAGGGATTCTTCCAGCTTCACTGAACGGCTTCCAGCAATCCTTACTGGGTCTTACATAGAGCTGAGCGGTGTTCCTGAGTAAAAAGACTTCAAGTTTCAACTTCAACCCCCCAAACAGTTCGAGCGTGCTGCTTGCCGCAACCTGTGTTCAACACAATTGTGCAACGAACAACATGTCTTGGCTGGGAAAACAGTTGCCCTATGTGCAGAATGCCAGGCCACCCTTCATCTCGATGATGGCTGTGGATGGTCTCAAGGGAGGGAAGATTCCCAAGAGCCTGTTCAAACGGTTTCTGGTGATGTCAGCGGTCAATGTATTTTGTAGCGAAAAAAAGAAGTGACAAAAGATTGCAACGACACAGATCCATATAGATCCTATGCGTCTGTGGATTCCAGTATCAAGATTATCAAGTTTATAGTTTAACATTTTACATGTTTCGCCGCTGTCGATAGACCATGGCATGCTTGAGTGAGCATAGTAAAAGAACATGCTCGACGTGGTCTCTGGCTATTTGCCTTCATAATGTGCAGAAAGTCAACACTGAAGCCCTGCTCGGCCTCTCCACTGCATACCGCGGCACCAAAGTGTGGCTTGCCATCTCTTCCAGCTCATCTGCCACCTCCATGATTTCCCATCGAACTGAATGACCATGAAAGAATCTCACACAACGAACTTCCAACAGCGAGGCCAAAACACTGTCCTTGCCTGAGCACTCGTTGACACCGTTTTGCAGGAAACTTGAATGGGAAACCTCAGGGTGTCCGAAAGAAGCCGACAGTATGCAAGGGATTGTAAGGGTCCTTCCTTTGTTGTAAAAGAGCTCCAATCAGCACAAGTAGCAAACCAGTACCAGCTTAGAAAGTACAACTTGTGGTCAATGTTGGTTCCTGTCATGGTCGATTTGCCTGATCTTGACAAATCCTTCTGAGGCTTTTGCCAGCCGATTGGATCTTCTGTGCCTTCCGATGTGCAAGATTTGAACTGCAATACTTATTCAATGTATATCCGTGCGTACGACTGAAAAAATACTGCGACCTCTAACCCAGCCAGCAGGTCACTGGAAAATCAAGGCTGCAGCCCATCCCAATCCTGGTAGCATCTGAGGCCATAGCCTTCACGGTTTCCAAGTGGTACAAGGACCTGAAGCCATGAATTTCTATCCAAGTGGTCCCAGTAGTTGCTGCCAGCTACCTGTCCTCACCAAACTGAGATTGCAGCTGAAGCCTCTTCCTGCCCGGACATGTGCCCCAACCTCGTGCAAAATAATGCTGGGCTATTAATTTCCAATCAGACCGCATCGACTGATTGCAAATCTCATGATCTCTGGCGCAGAATACAACTTGCTTGTGGTGATGACAACAGTGAGTTTGGTCTGGGGTCAGACATAAGTTTGAGCATGGCACATTCTGATATGACTTGCTCCTCTAGTGTTCTTCCGGAGCTATTCCAATCACAGGGCTTGAGGCGTGAAACCTTTCAGGTGTTTCCAGTCAACTACAGTCAGCTACAAATAAATTGCCCTTTCTCTTTGAAGACGTCAAAATGGACCTGGAAGACACACATCAGAGTCTCGCAGATACCCTCTGGTAATTTAACATAGCTATAGAAAATCACCATTTTTAATGGGAAAATCAACTATAAATGGCCATGTTCAATAGCTATGTTAGTTTACCAGAGGGTAAACATTAGGGCCTCATTAGGAGTATGAAACCAAAGTCCCATCGGTTGATCCAAGAAACAGTCGCGCAGTGGCTGCCTTGGTGTTGGAATTCACACCATCTCGAGCTCTCCCAACTGCCCCAAATTTAAAGGAAATATCAACTCAGCTAGATATAGCTAGACTTAACTCTAAACTTGCAAGATCACTCTCAAAACTGCCAAATCTTTGCAAAGTGGGAGTGCTTCACATTCGAACAAACGCGCAGAAATAGCCAGATATTTTGTCACTTGCAGCCATAAGTCGCTTATAGCATTTAATTTCTGGCCTACCTTTAGCACAAATCACTTCCAAAATAATATCCCAGATGCGATCACAATCTCTTTGGATCCAGATGGCAACATCAGCGGCATAGCTCTCCAAGACGCTGCCGCAGTGCCTGCACCAGAGATGAGCGGTTTGTCTCTGCAGCACTGTATTGCGTTGCGCAATTCATACCCAGTGCTTCCTCGCAATCTTGACGTGCAAAGAACACGTCAAAGTTAGAGCCGCATTAAATAGTACATGCAATTGGGCTTCGTCTTGACAGGAAACACATACACACACACATGTAGACAGGACAGGACAACTTAATCTGATCTGTTCAATGATAGACCTGCAGCGCTCGCCTTGAGAAGAACGAGGAAGTTCTGTTGCCTGGAACGAGACACTGGAATAGTAAGAAGAATTATATTGATAATATCCCGAGGTCCATGCTGTCAATGATTTCAATGCGCGTACTACGGCTTTGCTGGCTTTTACTCATGAACCATCCTCAACCCGCCAATCCTACCTCTTGCTATCGTTTAAGCGGGTAAGATCAGAGCATTTTGCTCAAACAGGTTAAATCACACGTCATGTATATATACATATAATATTATTATATACATATACATATACATATACATATACATATACATATACATATACATATACATGTACATGTACATGTACATGTACATGTACATGTACATATACATATACATATACATATACATGTACATGTACATATACATATACATATACATATACATATATTATTATATACATATACATATACATACATTATTATATACATATATACATATGCATATGCATATGCATATACATATACATATACATATACATATACATATATTATTATATACATATACATATACATACATTATTATATTATTATATACATATGCATATGCATATGCATATACATATACATATACATATACATATACACATACATATGCATATACATATACATCTACATCTATATATATATATATATTATACATATATATATATTATATATTATACTATATGCATAATGATTATGATTTATTATGTTCATTCTTTTGTTCACGAAGGTTTTGCAAAGAATCCCAGGGATGCCTCGTCATGTTTCCACATATGCCAGTATGACCCGTGCATGCCTCATAGTGTAGCAATCTTTTCCTCCAAAAAGCGGCCAGCTCCTGCCACGCATAAGACTGACTCCAAAATTGTGAGGTTCATGAAACCTGCCTTCGCTCAGCATTTTACGAACAAATCCTGATTGCGAAATGCATGGGAGATGACCTACATATGGCACATATGGAAGACCTGCTTCCATCATCTTCCATCCACCTGATTTCTCTCCTTCTCAAACATCAAAATCTATCAAAATCTAACCTTCCGAACATATCTCACACGCCACACACTGATAAAGCATGCTCTCACATGATTGTTGTTGTGTGGCACCTCTCCGAGTTTGGGTGAAAGATGTGAAAGTGTTGGGCCAAGAGACCTTGGAGCCAACTGTTGTGCAAAGTTGGAGATGTTGGAGTTCAAGAGTGTTCAAGCCCAGTTGCAGCGTTGCAGCCCCCAGTTGCAGCCCATTGTGTGGCAGCTCCACACATCGTCAGTTCGTGTCCGTTCTACATTGCGTGGCTAGGCTCATTGCGGAAGAAGTGGCACCGCCAGCAGAATCTCCGCGACCTGGACAGGGACGTAGCTCCGGATTTTCTCACGGTGCTGGACTTCACAGCCAGACTTCACAGCTTCTACCGGGCAGCTAGGATCAGCTAGGTATGCTAGGTGCTGGACTGTGTACTTCTCACTGTTCTGCACGTCCTGCATCTGAGATGTCTGAACACGACTTGAGAGTGCCTGCCTCAAATTGCCCAAACGCATATATCATATATTGATTATATATTGTAGATTATTGTAGTGTGTGCATGATTGTGCATGTGTGTGTGTGCCAATCTGACCAACTCTGTCTGTTCTCTTGGGAAAGAAGTCAAGCCAAATTAGCCAAATTTATAGACTGAACCTTACATGTGGCAAGATGTCGCAAGCCTTGCTTTACTTCATCCGTGACCTCAAAGAATGAGTGGAATCTGGGCCCTCTGTGGTGAACCCCGCAGGCTTCACAACATATCTTGTGCCGATCAACATGACGTGTAAACGTCGGTGGCTGGACAATTAATCTGGTTTCGCGCGAAGACAATGGAACGTGCAATGTAACATGACACTTGTATCAGGGATTCGCCAGCAAACTTTTAGGGGCCTGCATAGGCCATGAATGTACCTTTGTGTTTCGGAGTGGTCATAAGTTGTCTGACTTGTCTGTGGAGCGTGGGTGGAAGAATTGACAGGGAGGAAGAGACGAGTTCTTCACATAAAAAGTTTAAAAATTCAAAACTCCGACCCGACCGTCGGGGAAAAGAGGCGAGTAATCATTCCAGCATGAAATTATACCTGTATCTTCCAAAGGGCCTGAATTTCAGCCTGACCTCAAATATCAGCCTGCGGCGGAAACTGAAAACTCAGGCGGAAAGTGATTTTATCCATATTTTGAGGTATTCTGATAAGATCCTGGTGGGCGATCCAGGTGAAAAGAAATGCTCTGTGCGTGATGTTCGCTGTTTTTTATTGTTAATTTTTATATTTTTTTTTCGGGCGGAAACACCCACGAAACGGGCGAAAACACCCACAAAACAGGCGAAAACACCCGAAATGAGATTTTCATGTAAAACAGTAAACTTCTTTAACACTGTTATCAACAATATATATAGTGTGAGCGGGCATCTTAACCAAACATCATCAAAATCACTAAAAAACACAATCGGGCAGAAAAAAACGCCCCAGGCGAAAAAAATCCATTCGGGCTAAAATTTCAGCCTGAACAGCTTCGGGCTGAAAAAGCGGCCTGCGGAAGGCCTAGGTATGTCTTTCGTTCGTTTGCCAGTACAAGATCAGTGTCGAATCGTACAGCTGTGCATAGCATATCATAAATATCATACAATATCCGTGGCCGTTACTTGCTTCCCGTTTCATAATGTTTAATATACACTTTGGTCATGGAATGTCATGGAATGTAATGACGCATGGGTCCTCATCTGGCCGCGTAAGGAAAGCCAACATCGAATCCAACTCTTCCAAGAGTAGCTGTGCTTCTCCTGTCGACGTACACCACAGGTGCAGCACGAGCCCACAGCTGAACTAAGCCGTCAAGGACCCCATCCATGAAAGGAACAAAAGGATTGGATGAAAGGATTGGATCTTGAATTCAACCAATTCAACCACAGCCAATTGCTGTCGGAGTCTACTGGCTTCCTTAAACATTCGGAAAGAAGTGGGATGCGACCTTTGCTGCAGCATGCTGCAGCTCAGTTGGAAATGAAGTTTTTGTCTTTTCACAGCGCTTTGATCCCTGCAGCAACTTCCTGTGCTCGTTGATCCCCACGAGACACACCCTTAATTTCTCGTGACAAATCCACAGAGGAGCTCCGAGGGTATGGATGCGCTGCTGAGAGTCTCGCAAGTGATCTAGGAAGGTGCTTAAAAAACTTGAAAGATCTTAAAAGTGAGACCATGTCCATGAAAAAGTCATCAGATGATATCAGTGCAGTCGGAGTTCCTCTGCAGGAAAGGAAAAACCAGTCTCTGTACAACATTGTACAACTGCTCACGGCAGGCGCAAAGGGATTTGACGATAGCTATCAAAGAAATTCATCGGACAAGGAACCACATCCTTGGGTCGATGAACGACTTGTAGCAGCCAAGTAGGTGACACTAGAACAATTGGGCACTACATTCGGGAAAAGTGAACTCCGTATGACAAAAGATCACATATCTAGTTGGATGTGAAGTATAATGCATTTTTTCTGGACCGGAGATAATAAATGCAGCCACATAGTATGAAAACAAACACTTAGTTTGCACTTCATTCTCATGGAGTCATGGAGCACAGCCAAGCATCTGCTGCAGAGTTTCCCATCGTCTGACGCAGTGAATCAGGAGTCAGATTGGTCTGGGCCACACAAAGGAGGCGTAGACGATGTGTTGCGGGGCACTCGAATGGCAAAGTGAGGCTTCTGCAACCGGCGACATCCATCACCTGGCTTGATACAGGATGAGCCTCACCGACAAAATGTCCATTGTAACGTAGAGAAAGGTTGATATTTTCTCTGTGCCGGAAAGCAATACGTTTCTTTTCACTCTGGAAACAACTCAAAACCACCTCTCTGATTTCCAGATCCTCAAGCACTTCAAGCAGAACGAAGTTTGTGCATTTCAGCCTCTAAAGTGTGAATCCGCCAGAGGATATCGGATAGCATCAGGTTGTCCATTCGAGTGCAGCGGCAAAGCCGGAAATGTGTCAACTTGAAGCGTTCGTGTTGGATCACCGCCCGAACAACATGAAAATCCGCTGCTGTGTCGCTGAGATCCAACGCCTGGCGGGGCACCGACAACCAAAAAAATGATGGTAGGACCTATATGAACCTATGAGGGCCGAGGAGTCCTGCCAGCTGGGTCTAAATGCGACAAACTGTGGTCAGACAGTTGGGAAGCAACTCCAGGCGCTTCCCAGCCTTCAACTCTGAAGGCAACGAGGACAAACAGGATCGCAGTGCTCCAGCACTGATCTCCGCACTGGCAAGGCTTAAAACCTGACATGACGTGATACAAATTGTCTGACGGTGGAAATTGCATTCTGTATCATGCTGTCAAAGTCAAGCATGCACAGCACACAGCCACAACAATTCGTTGCGAACATGTTCAGATTTCATTGACAACATCCTTTCAACATTATTTCAATGGGGCTTATGGATAGTCTGAATATAGATCTTCTTGTGCGGCGCTCATCAGAGCTTCAAAGCCGCACGTCTCGCCTGCAGCTGGTGACATACCCTCAAAGGCTGCCAAGCCTCTTCTGCAGCCCTGGGCAGCTGCAACCTTGATTGCATTGCCAGAACGGGTGGTTTCAAGCTTCATCCTCCCCATGTAGGAGAGTGATGGGAATTACCATACATATCCCTAGATTACTTGATCCTAAAATGATCCAAATCAAGCAATAGATTGAATCATTTGACAGTCTGCTTTGAGTCGTTTGTTTTCCGTTTTTGGAGGGGCAGTCTCAAAAAAACGAATAAAACCGACGTCATTGCCGCGTAAATGAACCATGTTGAGCCGCGGAACATTGCGCCAGAAAGATCCAAGTGGCGAAGGCTGGCACAAGCACGGGGGAACACCTGTTCATGTTCTGCTCATGATGTCATGTTCTCAACATTTCCCAAAGAAAGCGGTTTGGACCTGAAAATCATAGGAAATCAAAGGAAATTCAATTGATCTTCACTCAATCCTTCAACACTTCTCAAAATATTCTATTCTATACTCCTTCAGTTTAAAAATGCTAGATTTATAAGCATCCTTAACCTCGTTTGCCAACGGTCAAATTGATCCCGTGCCTGAATATCACAATGTGCTAAGACCACAAAGGACAATGGTGCTGGTCGCATCTGTCCTTCCCCTGGTTGCGCGAAGAGCTCCGGTAAAAGAAGCTGCTCGAGAACTTGATGAGTAAAGCAAGAGTTGATAGACGGCCTGCAAGTTATTGCAAGTTCATGGTCTATGTCAGAAAAGGTAGGTCTGGCTCCAAAAGCAAACACTTGTTCTCTTTGAACCCTCAGTATCCCTCACTCATCTTATTTGGAATATTTTGGAATCCATGCATATCCATGCCAACACACTGCCTCTGTCCTTGCAAAATGGGTGAAACATGGTGAAACTGCGCACCTATCCCCCACAGGCAGACGTTGCTTCACCTCTCCAGAGACTTCCACACGGGAATTCTCATATCTTGACGCGGTGGCTTCGGGGCTTCTCCGTCCCAAGCTGCCCAGCAGAAGCGTCTCAAGCTCAGGCAGCTGCACTTCCATGGCACGATTGCCTTGTGGAGCTACGTAGATCAGATGTCACCCCAAATATACTGAAATGTCGCAAACGTAATTAAACATAATCAAACAATATCAAATCCATTTCCAAATGTTCAAATCTAAACTTGCCAACGCTTGCTGATGCATGGATCAAGTTTCTGAGAGCTGAGACCTCCAAGAGATCCAAATGCCTCAAATATGGCAACTTCCGCAGCAAAGCGCGGAGAGCCACATCGGAAAGCCCTCGGCAAGCACGGAGACTTAAATGACGGAGATGCGTGAAGTTCTGAGTCAGCAGGTCCTTCAGACTTTGAGCTGCTTTGACTGGAACTACCTGGAACTGGCTGTAGAAATGGATTGAAATCTGACCTTGGACAGTGTGTCAGCCCGAGGACTGTGGAAATGGATGGAAATGGAGATCCAAATTAAATGGAGCCAGGCAACAGAATTAAATGTGGTAACAAGCACCTCTGTGATTGTTGCAGTAGGGGTAAACAAGAATCGGAGGACCCAAGAACATGCTGGCCGTAAGTCTCCGCCGTCCTTGCAGAACTTGGAAGTCATCCTGTATCCCGACAGGTCCAGCAGCTCAAGTCGCGTTCGGTTCCTGAAGAGACTGGAGACCAACTGAGAGGGAAGGATGGGCGTGAGGGAATGGTGCCTGTATCGCCTTCAGGATCTCTCAATGAAGACCATTAATTTGTTTTAGCTTTACATTGCGCTGCTGAAAACGGCAAACCATGCATCATCACACTTAAAGATACTTAAAGCTATTTAGAGAGCTAGATCAAGTTGATTGCTTTGTCTCGCGCCGAATACCTGACAAAGACAGGTGTCCAGAATCAGAATCCGCCGACCCCGGCCTTGGCCAAGGCAGGGGCGGCGCCTGGGACCACCGCAGGTGTGGAACTTCTCCTTCTTAGCTTTCCAAGGCCGCTTGCCAGCCCTTAAAAGACATCGCTTAAACATTCCCTTGGCATGCTTCATCCTGCAGCCAACAGGCACCCCAAGGCCACACACATCAATGGCTTCTTATGGGCGTCCAAGCCTGCCGTTTGCCAGCCCTTAAACCCTTAAAACCTTTCAAAACCCTCAAAAGGCTTAAAACCCTTACAACCCGTCATGGGGGTCCAAGCCTGCCGTTTGCCATGCTTCATCCTGCAGCCAACCGGCACCCCAAGGCCACACATCAATGGCTTCTTATGGGCGTCCAAGCCTGCCGTTTGCCAGCCCTTAAACCCTTAAAACCCTTAAAAACCCTCAAACGGCTTAAAACCCTTACAACCTGTCATGGGGGTCCAAGCCTGCCGTTTGCCATGCTTCATCCTGCAGCCAACAGGCACCCCAAGGCCACACATCAATGGCTTCTTATGGGCGGTCCAGCCTGTACCGTTGGCCAGCCCTTAAACGCTTTCTAAAAACCCTTAAAACCCTCAAAGGCTTACACACTTACAACCCGTCATGGGGGTCCAAGCCTGCCGTTTGCCATGCTTCATCCTGCATCCAACAGGCACCCCAAGGCTCATCAATGGCTTCTTATGGGCGTCCAAGCCTGCCGTTTGCCAGCCCTTAAACGCTTAAAACCCTTAAAAACCCTCAAAAGGCTTAAAACCCTTACAACCCGTCATGGGGGTCCAAGCCTGCCGTTTGCCATGCTTCATCCTGCAGGCAACAGGCACCCCAAGGCCACACATCAATGGCTTCTTATGGGCGTCCAAGCCTGCCGTTTGCCAGCCCTTAAACCCTTAAAACCCTTAAAACCCTTACAACCCGTCATGGGGGTCCAAGCCTGCCGTTTGCCATGCTTCATCCTGCATCCAACAGGCACCCCAAGGCTCATCAATGGCTTCTTATGGGCGTCCCTTACAACCCGGCATGGGGGTCCAAGCCTGCCGTTTGCCATGCTTCATCCTGCAGCCAACCAGCACCCCAAGGCCACACATCAATGGCTTCTTATGGGCGTCCAAGCCTGCCGTTTGCCAGCCGTTAAACGCTTAAAACCCTTAAAAACCCTCAAACGGCTTAAAACCCTTACAACCTGTCATGGGGGTCCAAGCCTGCCGTTTGCCATGCTTCATCCTGCAGCCAACAGGCACCCCAAGGCCACACATCAATGGCTTCTTATGGGCGTCCAAGCCTGCCGTTTGCCAGCCCTTAAACCCTTAAAACCCTTAAAAACCCTCAAAAGGCTTAAAACCCTTACAACCCGCCATGGGGGTCCAAGCCTGCCGTTTGCCATG